TAGAGGTATTTCGGATTTCATGGAAAGAGAGCTCAATTGCTTACAGAGAGGCTTTAAAAGCTGCTAGATCTGCTTATTTTTCAACCCTATTAGAAGAAAATAAACATAATCCTAGGTATTTATTTGAAACAGTAGCTAAACTAACGAAAAAGAAAGCTTCAAGCTCAGAAGTGTCCAAGCAACACAGCAGTAATGACTTTATGAACTTCTTCACTTATAAGATCGATAATATCAGGGACAAAATTATAACTATGCAACCGTCTACCACAGTATCGCATCAGACAGTGCATTGTAGTCTCCATGAGGAAACATTTTATTCATTTGTTGCCATAGGAGAGGACGAATTTTCTAAACTTGTTAAATCATCTAAATCGACAACATGTATGTTAGACCCTATACCGACTAAACTACTGAAAGAGATGCTTCTAGAGGTCATAGATCCAATTCTCAATATCAATGATTCATCTTTGTCTCTAGGATACGTACCAAAAACTTTTAAGCTGGCTATGATAAAACCGCTTGTTAAAATACCGCAACACTCTGTACATGCAACTCTTATGAGATATCATTAGGAAGCATGGCAGTTTTCACTGTTATGCCGGTGATACTCAGCTGTATATTTCTTCACGCCCCGACGAAACTTACCAATTCACAAAATTAACGGAATGCATAGCTGATATAAAAAATTGGATGACTAGTAATTTCCTACTACTAAATTCTGAAAAGACAGAGATTCTAATTATTGGACAAAAAACTTCCACACGTAATAACCTAGAATACTGTCTAACACTTGATGGCTGCTCTGTTAAGTCTTCGTCGTCGGTTAGGAACCTGGGTGTGTGTGTGTGTGTGTGTGTGCTCTTTGATAGCAATCTCTCATTTGAAAGTCACGTGTCTAGTATCTGTAAAACTGCATTTTTCCATCTTAAAAACATATCTAAATTACGCCATATGCTCTCATTAACAAATGCAGAACAATTAGTCCATGCGTTCATGACCTCAAGGCTAGATTACTGTAATGCTCTACTGGGTGGTTGCCCTGCACGCTTAATAAACAAACTCCAGCTGGTCCAAAACGCAGCAGCTCGAGTTCTTACCAGAACCAGGAAATATGACCATATTAGCCCGGTTCTGTCAACACTGCATTGGCCGCCCATTAAACATCGTATAAATTTTAAAATATTGTTGATTACTTACAAAGCACTAAATGGTTTATCTCCCAGTACTTGAGCGAGCTCTTAACGCATTATAGTCCTTCACGTCTATTGCGATCTCGAAACTTCGGCCAGTTGATAATACCTAGAATATCTAAATCGACTGCTGGCGGGAGATCCTTTTCCTATTTAGCACCAAAACTCTGGAACAGTCTTCCTACCATTGTCCGGGAAGCAGACACACTCTGTCAGTTCAAAGCTAGACTAAAAACACATCTCTTTGACCTAGCATACACATAATACACTATAGACCTCTATAATTCAATGTTAGGCTGCATAGATTAGGTCAGCCGGAACTGGGAACACTTCCCTTAAATCTTGATGTACTCGCTACATCATAAGAAGAATGGCATCTACGCTAACTTTAGTCTCTCTGTTTATCCGAGATTTACTGCAGCCTGCCGGATCCAGATCTGACGAAGGACCTGCGTCTGGACACACACACACACACACACACTCACACACACACTCACACACTCACACACACTCACACACACTCACACACACACTCACACACACTCACACACACACACACACTCACACACACTCACACACACACACTCACACACACTCACACACACACACACTCACACACACTCACACACACTCACTCACACACACTCACACAGCTTTGTTTTTGTGATATATGAGGACATTCCATAGGCGTAATGTTTTTTATACTGGACAAACTGTATATTCTATCCCCCTACACTGCCCCTATCCCTAAACCTACCCATCACAGGAGACATGCTGCATTTTTACATTTAAAAAAAAACATTGTTTTTTATGTTTTTTAAGCTATTTGAAATATGAGGACTCATGCAATGTCCTCATATATCACGTGTAAGTTGTAATACCAGTGTAATATGCATGTCATTATACACATTTGTGTCCTCATATATCACAAAAACAAACACACTCACACACACACTCACACACTCTCACACACTCACACACTCACACACACACTCTCACACACTCACACACTCACACACTCACACACACTCACACACACTCTCACACACTCTCACACACACACTCACACACACACTCACACACACACTCACACACACACACTCACACACACTCACACACACTCACACACACTCACACACACTCACACACACACACTCACACACACTCACACACACTCACACACACACACACACTCACTCACACACACTCACACACTCACACACACTCACACACACTCACTCACACTCACTCACACACACACACACACTCACACACACTCACACTCACACACACTCACACACACTCACACA